GAGCCCCTCGGTCCGCCGCCACCGGGCCCGCCAGCCCTGCCTCACCCCCGTTCCTAGCGGGGTTACACCGTGGAGGAGCTGCCCGCGGCCCTGCTCCCTCCTCATTCCCTATTTCTAGTGGGGTTACACAGTGGAGGAGCTGCCTCTGGCCCTTCTCCCTCCTCGCTCCCCGTTTCTAGCGGGGTTACACCACAGAGGAGCTGACTGCAGACTTTCTCCCACCTCACTCCCCATTTCTAGTAGGCTTACACTGTGGAGGAGCTGCCCATGGCCCATCCCTCGCCTCACTCCCCGTTTCTAGCAGGGTTGCACCGCAGAGGAGCTGCCCACGGCCTTCTCCCTCCTCGCTCTCTGTTTCTAGTGGGGTTACACTGTGGAGGAGCTGCCCCTGGCCCTTCTCCCTCCTCACTCCCTGTTTCTAGCGGGGTTACACTGTGGAGGAGCTGCCCCTGGCCCTTCTCCCTCCTCACTCCCTGTTTCTAGCGGGGTTACACCACAGAGGAGCTGCCCGCAGCCCTTCTGCTCACTCCCATTTTCTAGCAGGGTTACACAGCAGAGGAGCTGCCCGCGGCCCTGCTTTTGCCTCACTCCCCATTTCTAGCGGGGTTACACCACAGAGGAGCTGCCCCTGGCCTTTCTCCCTCCTTGCTCCCTGTTTCTAGCAGGGTTACACCATGGAGGAGCTGCCCACAGCCTTCTTCCTCCTCGCTTTCTGTTTCTAGCAGGGTTACGCCGTGGAGGAGCTGCCTGTAGCCCTTCTCCCTCCTTGCTCCCTGTTTCTAGCAGGGTTACACCGTGGAGGAGCTGCCTGCAGCCCTTCTCCCGCCTCACGCCCCCACCGTGAGGCAGTTGCGGGGCCCCTCCGGTTCACTGCGGTGGGGAAGGTTGGCTGGTATTTACTGAAACAATTTAAAAATTCTGAAGGCGTTTCCCTGTGTAACGTAGCTGTTTCTCCTTTTTCCATTAGCTGTCATGTGAACGCTTCTTGTTGCAGCCTGAATTAACAGAGTGTTTTGCTTGTTTACTCCAAGACACATCCCTTTTTGAGGGTTTGAAAAATGAACCTCTCATTTTTTTTCAATAGGAGATTTTACAAAGTTTATGGCAGTGGTCCAAGGCCTTTCGACCTGTCGCAACTGAACTACAAATCTACCTGTCAGAGGTAAGATTTACTTATAATTAAACCAGAAATAGTTCTGGAACTTGTGCCTTTCTCCCCTTAAGTCAGGGAACCAAGATGTTATTTGTGAGAGTAAAAATACAATCTTGAAATCTAGGTTTGTTGAGAAGTTCAATGAACTGAAGGAAGAAGGAAAAATTGAAGAGGAAAAGTTGTTTGAAGAAACGGGAAAAGCCCTTTTAGCCATTGGGATGGTTTTACAGAGAAGAGGAACAGATAAAGTAAGTGTTAAATATTCATATGGAGTTACTTGGCCAGTGGATCCAGAACACTTCACTTCCAGGCCATCAGTGTTGCGTTGGTCCGAATTAAACTCTCAGCAAGAGTCACGCGCCTGACGGGCGTCGTGAAGATGTCTTTGCTGTGCAGAGTAAACCCTTCTCTCGGTCATGAACGTGACTGGCCAAGGTGATGGTGCTTCTTGTGGGACAAACAGAGATCTGCTTGTTCTGGTGAGGAAAGGCACAAGTCTTCAGTGCTTTCAAATCGTCCATCGGTGCGTCTGTGTAAACCATGTGGAAATACGTATGCGTATGACCCTGTGCGTGTTAGCGCTGCGAGGTGGCAGGGCGTAAATGAGAACCTCTTCTGGTCCAAAGGTAACGAACACAAATTTCCTTCCCTTTTTAATAGCTGAGTAGTTTAATGCACTCTACCTCTTGCTCTGTGATCTTGGTCCTGAACTGGAAAATATTTGCATAAATCGTGCAGGGTTTTGTTTTGGTGGTTGTTTTGGTTTTGTTTTTTTTTCTTAATTTTTATATAAGAGTATTGAAATAAAGTTTTGTAGTCTAGGGGCTGTTTACTTACATTTTTGCCGAGAAAATAACTGTCCAGAACAACTGCCCAAAGTGTCCTGCCACAGCTTTTGGTTTTCCCTGACGTACAAGAGGGGAGGGGGCCCCTGGGCAGGTGGAGTCTAGTTCCTCGTTACGTCAGGCAATCACCGTATCGCTCTCACATAAAATGAGGTAGCAAACCAAACTGAAGATGCTTCCAGGAGAGCACGTCGGGTAGAGTAGGACAAGGCTGCTCTGTGATGGTTCTACCTTGTTCACGACTAGCTGATGACAATTTCTTCTGAGAACGCTGTCCTTTTAGTTGAGCGCCCTCAAAAAGAAGGGAGAAGAGCTGTTTATAAAAGCTGCAGTTTTAAACTGTTAGCTAAATGAATTTATTGCTCTCCTTTGTAACACGCTCTCCATTTCCTCGTTATCCAGTGATCTCTGGGCTGAGCGTCTGTAGCGCTTTCCCCAGCGAAAGAGGCTGAAGAGGAGCAGAAATGGGGTCTGCTCTAAGCACACTGTCCTGTGCGCACGTGAAAAGATGAAATCACTAACTTTCATCTTTTAGCTTGAGGTCAGCTGTCTCATTTTAAATTTCTTGCCCTGGTGACACCTGAACACTGTGCCGTACCTTAAAAATAATCTAGGGATGAATTAGAACTTCTCTATTGGCTTTTTTTTGGATGTACAGGCTGGGGTTGTTGCTTTCTGTTGCTCTCTTCAGACATGCTTTAACAGAAACTTTTTACCACCCTTTTTTTTTGCTGATCGTCCGTCTTTAACTGTAGGTAGCACAACAGGATCGCCCGGAGGTTGAAACCAGGGATTCTGCGTTACACCAGCAGCTCCAAACGGTGTTGGGGGAGATGCAGGAGAAGATGACAGACCAGGAGGAGCAGACGCCAGCGCTGGCAGAAGCGCAGAGGGGAAACCCCGTGCCCTCCTAGTGCCGTGCTGTCGTCCCGTGACGCCCGGCTGCGGGGTGTGCCCTGGCCGTGGCAGGGGCTTGCGCAGGAGCCAGCGTTGCGGCCTCCACGACCTCACGGCTCTGAGACATTTTCTCAGGGGGAATACGCCTCGGTTGTCCGGCTCTGGTGCCTTCTGGGATCGTGTGTGGGAGACACATTCTCGTTCTTCCATCTCCCCATTGGTAAAATTGGAGAGAATCCTCTTTTCTGAGGTTCAGGAATGGTGCCTCAGATTGTGAGTTGGAAAATACGAGTATAAAAGTGGAAAATTAAACATTTTCTTTAAATATTGGAAGTTCTGCCTCTTCAGGTGCCTTATTCCCAGTAGTAAAGGTGTTTAACTTCTTGCACTGGATGGTCCAGGCCCTGCTGCATGCCTGATGCGCTGTCACAGCTGAGAAGTGTCATCTTTTTATAGCTAATTGGGAGGAGCTGCTATTTATACAGACATGATAATTTCCTCTTCCGTCATTTGCTTAAATGTAGAATAGGGTAAATTGTAACAATACCAGGTAATTTGGACCTTTGCTGTTTTTTTAGTGACTTTTAATGAAATTGGGCAGTGTGAAAGATGTGATGTTACAGCTGCCTGCTGAAGGGAGAGTGGCGTGCCGTTGCAGAGATGGTCACGCTGCGGCGTGGAGCAGCGTGAGAAAGTAACGAGCAGGGTTCGGAGCTGGTTAGAAGGTCGTTCTTCCCGTGCCTGCAAACTCCAGGGCCTGGCTCATTTTTTATTAAAGATTCTGGCTTTGGGCTACATGAAAAGCAATGACTGTGTTTCCAACCCCTCCCCTTTTGTCTGTGTGGTTTTTCCCCCTCCCCTTTTGTCTGTGTGTTTTTCCCCCCCCCCTTTTGTCTGTGTGGTTTTTCCCCCTCCCCTTTTGTCTGTGTGGTTTTTTTCCCCCCCACTTTTGTTTATGTTTTCTTCTTAAAAAAACAAACTACCACCAGGCCAGAACGGAGCGGGTGTAAATGACACCAAACACATCTCCTCTCTTCCTGCTTGCCTGGCTCTCCCCTAGGAGGATGAGGAGGGGAGGATTTCCTTCTGGTTTCGTACCTGCCTCCCAGACGCCTCCTCCGCAGCGCGGTTTTGTGGCGCTGCCGCTGTGTGCGATGCAGGAGAACTCTTACAAATCTGTGTTGTGTGGCGGTGCAAAGGAGGACTTAAAAATGCCCAGGGCTGGTTTTTGCGTGGCTCGACGGACTGCCCGTCGCAGCGTGGTTACAGCAGGCTCACTCCGTTGTCCTTGGAAGGTCAAACTTTATTCCTAATTCCGCTCTGTAATTCCAGAGGAGCGTGAGATTTTATCGCAGAGCGCAGACCCCTCGTGTCCCGGCGCTGCGGTAGCTGTGGGCCCTGGGGTCCGTCTCCAGAGCCCACCGCGGTGGCACACGCGCCCGCCCCAGCGAGGGATTCCTGCCTGCCATGCTGCACCCACGCGTCGCAGCCTAGAGGGGCCAGCACGATG